CACTGTGGCTTGAGAAAGCTTTGTGGCCACTTCTCCAGCGCCCTGCTGCCCCGAGGAGAAGTGAGGTGATGTAGTTTCAAGGGTCTGTTTCTGGACAGTGTCTGTGTCCTGGATGGAGAATAGACTGACAGCTTAAGTTGACGAGACTCTGCTGACCTAATTGGGTTTAGGATTAGATCTGGGGTTCATTCAGAAGTGACCCTTCAGTCTATCCTGCATTTCCTCTCCTCGGGGGCTGTAAAATGACTTCATCTTCCCAGAGACTAAGATGAAAGTGGTGGATGCCTGAAGAAGCCCCAGTGCCGCTGAAGCTGGTGTGAGTTATTCCGTCATGTCTGGTGGGCCTGTGCTTTCAGCCCAGTCTTTCAAAAGATTTATTTCCCTGATAGAAAAAAATTACCCTGGCTGTTGGGCGGCTATTTCTGCAGCCACTGTACCACCAGGCCCTGATAAGCAAGCACTTAATTACACACCTAACTTCATTCATTGATGATAACTCAGCTATGTGCGTGGGTGTAAGTACAGGCAGGTTTCTTATAGTAATTTTTTTTAATGGAAGGACTTCTAATTATCACACTCAAGATTGAAATGTAATGTTTTGGAACAGATCTGGTGGAAAGCTCAGAACTGAGCCTGTTTACCTAGCTGATTTTTATTTTTTTTTCCTCACCACAAGGTGCAGTTCTGAGGCAATCCCAAGAGCCCAAAGAGCTGTGGGGATATGTGCAAGTTCGAAGTAAGGCCCACATGTTCTGGTGGCTCTACTATGCAAATAACCCAGCCAAAGATTTCACAGAATTACCTCTCATCTTGTGGCTTCAGGTAAGGTTTGGTGAAAGACGCTGAAACGATAACCTTCTACCTGTGCCTGGTTCAGTCTGATAGGTATCTTTCAGCTCTACGGAAATAGGATTCAAAATTGTCCGATTTGAAATGATTCACCTTGTGAGTGAGGTGTTCAGGTTAGGAAGAAATAATGGCAATGTCATTCTGCAGTTGTGGAGTGCCCTCAACTGCTCACCCTCCATCAAGTTCAGTTGCAGAACTAGAGATTGTTCTCATCGTTTATACAACAGTAGTGCTTTTGTGCCAGGCACTACAAGTACATTGGAGTGTCACCGCTCCTTTCCAGAAGAGCTTTCAGTCTAAACAATGTTCAAAGAGAGAGTAGATAAAGTGGTCAAAGATTTAGAAAGATTTCTAAATGGAAACGAGAAAGAGAGACTCTGGTTGTTTAGAGCTCGGTCCCATTCAATCACAGTTCGATAAAAAGCAATGGCGTGTGCTCCCCATTCTCTTCCAGCAGTACATTTCAGAAGTTAATGTGGAATATAATCACTTGATGACTTCGTCTTTTTCCTTCTGGGTTATTTCTTCAGAGTGGAACGCACACGCTGTACAGGCTGATAAAACTAATGACTTGCAAACCTCTGTAGGTAGCTAACTTGTGCATTTGGTATTAAGGGAACAAGGGGAAGGGTTTTCTAACTGCACTCACATAGTGTGCAACTCATTAGATGCTTTCACAAGTGGGTGATTGTGTCTCTGCTTAAATTCTTGCTTTCAGAAATGGCATGTGTACACATAATGAAAGATGATGAGGAAGAGAGCCTTCTTTGCAAATTAACACATAGCGCAAAAACAGGTTTTTTTCAAGTTCACAATCTGTCATTCTACTTACTGGCTTGCTTTTATTTTTCTCCTATCTGTCATATCTATACCATGCTGCCGCTTAACTTGCTTGTCATTTGGTACTTCCCCACAGGGAGGTCCAGGAGCTTCAGGCTGTGGATTTGGGAACTTTGAAGAGATTGGTCCATTAGACAAAGAAATGAAACCACGAAATACAACCTGGGTACAGTGGAGAGTTCAGCTTTTAATTACTGATTGCAAATGTTTGTTGCTTGTGTAAGCAGATGATTGCTATGCAAAAATGCACAGAACAGTTTTCATTTAAAGTTCAATAGAACTATAATATTTCAGTTTTTAGGAATAGTCTTGTTAAGAACTGAAGAATAGACCTATGAATTTGATTTGGTGGAATATGTCTGGGCTTCTATGAATTTGTGAATTGCAGATGTCTGGGAAACTGAGAGCAGGGAAATTCTAGAAGGAGGTTACTGCAGATCATAGCTTCACTGTGTGCAGGCATAGAGGTTTTTCTGGATGGCTGGCAATGTATAACCAATGGCTCGTAATTACAAGTCCCATATGGCCTGTGAGGGAAAACAAATTACAGGTGCCTGTGAAAGTGGAATTTTATTCAATGAAATGTATTTGTGCTCTGAGCTACCAATAGTCTAACTACTCTGGAGTTCCCTAGATGGGATGATCTGCCCTTGGATCACTGGGACTTTTTGGATGCCTTTCTTTTTGCAGACTGAGCAAACTGAGACTTTATGTTGTACCTCTTTATTTGTGAGCCTTACTGCTTTGAGCCACGCTAGCCATCTGTGTGCTGATCTACTAATTTTATTTCTACGCTAGTAAATATACAACTACAGCATTTGCTATAGCAATTTCATAAAAGCCCAGGAACCCAAAAGAAAAACCCTCTTATTTTACATTCTGACAGACAAGTCTCACCTCTACCATTCTCTCTTTTGGACTTTCACCTAAGTTTTCTGCAAGTTCTTTCAGGGCCACAGATTTGGTGGTTCAGTTAAACGTTTGTGCCATCGAAACTAAGGTTTTCCCTGGTGCTGAACTGAGGTTTCGTACAAACCTTCTTTCTGCTTGTACAGTTGCAGGCAGCCAGCATCTTGTTTGTGGATAATCCTGTAGGCACTGGATTCAGCTATGTGGATGATTGTGGCTTGTTTGCCAAAAACCTTACGGCAGTAGTTTCTGATATGATGGTATTTCTTAGAGAATTCTTCATGTGTAGAACAGAATTCCAGGTAAGTGAATTGAATTCTTGGTTAGTATCATATTTTTCTTTGCTTTTAAACAGATCTCAAGACAAATTACTCAACAGACTTCCAGATGGACAGTGTTTGCTACTACATAGTGTGCATTTGGTGGGAGTCAGTGCAGGTATAGCCCCTGCCTCTCCTTTCTCACAATTCAGAAGTTTTATGTTGAATTTGGTGCTAGTTAGATAAGCAGTGGTGTAAATTATTGTCTATCGTGCGATCCGAGAAGCATATAGGATCACGGCTGTTGCTAGTTCCAACATACTGAAGTGTCTGCTCCAAAACTTCCATCAGTAATTACACCAGGATGTTACAGAAATCTTATCTGCAGCTTAGATTGGAAGAGTATCCAGTGTTTGGTAGTGAGAGGTGAAGAGTCAGTACCTGGGTTATGTGGGAGATGGTTGGAGGTGTCTTCTGCCCTCTGCCCAACAGGTTCATTGTGTGGCTTTTCTCTCTCCAGACCATCCCATTCTACATATTTTCTGAATCTTATGGAGGTAAAATGGCTGCTGGCATTGCTTTAGAGCTGCATGAGGTAAGTAGTCGGAGGATGTAGTTCAGTTTTCACTTTAAAATGTGGTGTTCTACAAGGACTTCTACTTCCTGGAATTCACTGTGCCTCTTGCCTAATTCAGAGTGCCACTTATTTTTTTGGCTTAAAGAAAACTGGTTCTAGAGTCATGAATATCTAACTAAAAGTTTATTTGTTTGTTTGTTTTTGGTTTTCTTCTTATTCACCAAGGCTGTTCAGAAAGGGACCATAAAGTCAAATTTTATGGGGACTGCTCTTGGAGACTCATGGATTTCTCCTTTGGGTACGTTTAAAATCCTCGGGCTGCAGGTGGTTTGTTGTTGTTGCTTTGTTTTGTTGTGGGTTTTTTTTTTTTTTATCATTCCATGGATACGTAGAGTCAAAAATGCCAGATGTGCCTTAAGTGAATTAAATCTCTAGTGAGTCTGGTAAATAAAAAAAAAACAAACTTCAACATTGCAAGCTGTGATTGAAGAATCTACCTTTAGAATTTATCTAGATTGTGAAAAGTCATGGAGCAGAGTCAGTGAGGAGCATACTTGCATTTGAAGTGGGGTGGAGGTGAAACATCCCTGCACATCTCTACAGCCTCCGAGGTGTTTTTGTATGAGTGCAGCACTTAAAATGTGGCCACCAAAGGACTCGCAAGGTTGCAGCTGAGGTTTGATCTTTCTTTTCACAAGAACGCCTTGTGCTGAGAAACTGATGTGCTCACAGAACTGGAAGAGATGGGGTGTGTGTCTGGTGGAGGACAAAAACCAAATCAAAGGACTCTTGGTCCTTCAATGAGATTTGCAAGGCCAAGCCCCACAGATTCTCTGCAGCATGGGACAGTATCAGGCAAAGTCCTGTCTGTCTTGGGATCAGCTGATCCTTGAGACATTATAAACAAAGTTGCTGTAAAAAAAAAAATCTTTTACAACTAGGTGTTTTTCCCCTGTAACTTTTGCAAACAGATCAGTTTAGACAATGCCCATTCGTTTGTCAGATCTCTCCTCGTATTCTAGCAATGTGCTGCAGTGTTGGGGTGAGAACATTTTGGTAAGAACGTGTCTTGTAGCTTTAAATAAAATTGACTGATTAATGTTTAGGGGGTTAATGACGTTGCAGAGCTTTTATTGGTTCTCAGGATTTGTATAGAACCTGCTCTGTGGTACATAACCTTTGGGCTAAACGAAACTGACAGTACCTTTTTACTGATTAATTAATTTCCATATATTTTTGACACAATTGTTCTTGCTACAGTAAAGGAGAAGAAAAGGAAATGGTATGTCAAAAACTTACAATGTTTGAAATCTGTTCTGTTTCTTTAGACTCTGTGCTGTCTTGGGGGCCCTACCTTTACAGCACTGTAAGTACCTTCTTAAACTCTTGGTCCTGCCCTGTAGTATAAATGATGTTGATTTTTAGGGTTAGCTCTTAGCCAGAATGAAACCTCGACTGCATGAAGACTGTTAGTGAGAAATTGATGGAAATTATAATTAAAGCTGTCTTCCTTTGTGTTTGTCTTCCAGTCTTTCCTTGACGATAAAGGTCTAGCAGAGGTGACTGCTGTTGCGAAAGAAATAATGGATGCAATAAATAAAAAGCAATATGGGCTTGCCACTGAGCTCTGGGGCAAGGCTGAAGATGTCATTGAAGAGGTGAAGTCTTCTTTGACCAGCATTAACAACTAACTGGTGCCTGCGGAGGCACGCGATTTCGGGTTATCCTTTCTATGTGCACTGGGTTGGCATGAATCCTTCAACCCCCTGCCCAGTCATTTGTGCCAATGTTTGTTTTATCCGGGTGCTGATGTAAAAGAGCTGTTTGTTTGCTGTGGACCCCTATGTGATTGTAAGAGGCAGTGGGTAGGGCGACTCACGTGGGCTTGCAGTATTGCATCAAGGTTTCAACCTGGCACATGACTTAAATAGATGCTTAATTTTTAGCATGCAGCTAGTCCCGTTGATTTCTATAGAACCCAGTTTCAGGTTAAATGAGCTGTGTCTCCTTGAAAGCTTGGTTTTTAACATTGAAAACCGCATCCAGCAACACACAAATTTCAAGTTAAGCATAGATCTCTATTTAAAGGACTATGATAGGTGCATAGGATGGAAAGGAACCTCCAGTTATGTCCTGTTACAGTGGGTTGCTGCACCTTGTTAATTAGCAAGTTCCAGCTTAAAAGATAGGTGCAGTTTTGCTCTTGTTTTTCCTGTTGAATGGTTGCTCCAAAATCTCACTCTTCTTGTGTTTTTGTTTTAGTACAAGTAAGGATTTGGCTTCCTGAGGCTGAAAGACTAATCTGGAGCTGCTTCCTTTTCTCACTCTTGGTCTTGTTTTGGTTTGGTTTTTTATGTGACAGTGCCTTGCACATAGTTGGTTTCACTTCTTAATGTTTGGAAGGAACTTGTGATTCCCATTTTGCTTTTCTCTTCAAGTCTACTTATCTTCTCCTCCCCATTGTGATAGTTGCTGTCAGACTGCAGGCACTTCAGTTCTTCTAGGGTTGCTGTTGTGATCTGATTTCTGACCTATGCTTCAGAACTTCAGAAATTGAATAAAGCAGGGCTTCAGGAATCTGGAATAGCTTCTCTAATGGCAACACTGATCACACTTGTCCTTTGGATGCAGGCAGTCTGCTGTCTGCACCAGAGCTGCCATTCTACAATTCGTGGACTTGTCCAGATGTCAGCAGTTCCAAAAGAGGGGTGGCTGATACCTATCACCATGTTCTTGAGGAAGCATTTGAGATTTTGAAAGGTTGTAGGCTGGGAAGATGTTGAGCAAGAGGCACCGTCAGGCTGGACTGGATATAGCAGAAGAGACCATCTGAAGGCATCATCTGGCATTGCAACTCTCTGTAATTAGTAATGAGAATCTGCAGTCATTCGCAGGGTGTAAGGTTTCCTGTAGCTTCACATCTGTTTCAGAGAAGTAAATAGCATCTCTGCCACAACCCATGTGTGAACAATACAGACTTCAGAAAACTCCTCCCCACTTCTCAAAGCAAATGTAGAACCAAAGATTTTCCATAAGTATCCTCCTGACGTGTAGGTGACCTTTTTTTTTTTGGAAGATAGTCTGTTCCTCATATCTGAGAAATGTTTTTGTTACAGTGTTACTGAAATTATCTTGTGTTTTCAGAACACAGACAATGTGAACTTTTATAACATCATGACTAAGGAGGTTCCAGAAATGAAATCAAATGAACAAGAAAATCTCCATCTCAGTAAGTTGTATTTAAGTACTTGAGCTTCTGAGGCCCTATGTTTGCGTTCATGTACTTTCAAGGCTGATGGTTGGGACAGCGTCGGTTTAGCACATCCTTAAAATGGGGCCTTCAGATCCAAAGGATATTGGTATTCTCCGGAGCAGAATTTGTTTGCTCTTGCATAAATAGGGATAAATAGGAATGTGGAACAGCCCATCTATGGATTACACCTCCGCCTATACATCCTGCACAAATTACTCCAAGGAAGTAGTCAGTATAATTGCAACATAGTTTTATGACCTTTAAATTACTTCCTCTTAGTGTCTTTCATTTCTGTCTTCAAGCTAGGATGCAAAAAATGTCTCATCAATATAAATAGTCTGATTAGACTCCTTTGCTCCGTGATGTTTATGCATCAATGTGAAAAACAAATGTATAGAATTTATCTTTATCTCTTTCTGTTGGCTTCAGCAGGGAGGGTGAACAGCACAGTTAACTCCCAAAAGTGAAGCATTTCAGCTCAAAAATAACTGGTCTGTTGAGAAGAAATCGTGTCTGTACCAAGTGGCTAAAGTAGAAGCTGGTCCCCTGGAAAAGTCTTGTGGTAGCCAGAAGTAGAAACAGGTGGTTGGGTTCTTCCCATATCATTCCCTGACATAAATAAATGTTGACTTCAGTGGTTTCTAGTAAAAGTAAGCAAATCTCTCTCTGTGGTGTTGCATTTTCATTAAAAAAGTGTTTGTTGGCCATGACTGTAACAATGAAAATTGTTGTCTGTGCAGGATAACTGTCTTGAACGTGCCACTGATCAGAGGGTGTTCTCTCTCTTTCAGTAAGACTTTACCAACGCCACGTCAAAAATAGGCATAAGGACAGCCTAAATCAATTGATGAACGGACCCATCAGAAAGAAGCTAAAAATTATTCCTGACTCTGTGAAATGGGGAGGTACTTTACTGTCTGCTAGTGTGGATCTAATGAGTGCTTTATTGCCTTTTACAGTATTGCTGTCTGTAGGAAGATACTTTACTGTAGTAAGCAGTCACATGAAATTGTTATTAACATTGGGTCTAAGAAGAGGACTTATTCTCAGAAATGAACACGTAATGGGGCAGGCCCATGGGAGCAGATGTGGTTCTGGTTCCAATTCTGCTGTCTGTACCTATCTTTAGCCAGGCAGCTAAAAATACAGGGGAAGGAAGAAGATGCTTTGTGTCTCAGCAGCTGGTTTCTGTCTTTCATGCAATCTTGCTGAAATTCCTGTCAGTTTTTTTCTGCCATAAATCTAGTATCATAGCTGCATGGTGTGGAGGGGAGGGTGTAAAATGAAAGGAAGGCGTAAAGGACTGATGGCAGCACCCTTTATGTATATAACAGGAGCCAGAAGCTACAGTGCTGTGCGTGAGCTGCAGTGGCAGCATGGCTGCTTTCTGATTCTCTTTAGTTCCTCAGACTGATAAATCACTGGCTGCTGCTTTGAGCTAGGACTGTTTGTTATGCAGCCATGAACTGCATTTTAGGACCCTTAGCCAGTTGTGTCTGTCCCAGCTTGGGGATGACATTCTTCATCAGTTAAAATTTGTCTTCTTTCTGGTTCCAACCAGGTCAGTCCAGAGATGTCTTTGAGAACATGGCTGAGGACTTCATGAAACCTGTAATTGATATTGTTGATCAGCTTTTGGCAGCCAACGTCAATGTTACAGTCTATAATGGGCAGCTAGATCTTATTGTTGACACCATGGGTAAGGGACTTCTTGACTGGGGTTGAGAACAGAACATGCGAAAAGTGGAACATGAAGTTGCCAGTGATATTGGTACCTGGATCTCTCCAGTATTCTGTAGAAACCTCATGTCTAACTGGCAACACTTAAATACTACAGTCGTAAACAAGCAGCTCGTAGTATGTTTTATTTACATCCCTCTGAGAGAGGCAGTTGCTTTACCTCCACTGCACTGTTGGGACATGGGTCTGCAACATCAATAACTGCTTGTTTTAGTGAAGCCCATAAGTAAGTAGGTAGCTAATAATTCACTTAATGCTTCTGGATAGACACTTACATATGTATGTGCGTATGCTCATTCAGAAGTGAAGAATGAGGATAGGTTAATAAATACATGGAGATTATCCTCTCTTCTCCTGCTGAGCCTTGAAGATCCTGTTCTCTGGGGCAAAGGTCATATCTTGCTACAGATTTGTGCACAATGCAGGTCAGCCTTCACTGAGTGGCCTGCAGCAGCGAGCATGGTGCCAGGTGAGATGGAACAAGGCTGTTGGTAATTAATTAAGCAGCCGAAGAGTGAGCATGCCTTCTGCTCAGTAAGATGTGTAGGCTTCTGCACGTCTTGGCCACGCAAGGGCTTTGTCTGTCCCTTGCTGCTTGCAAGGTGCAGGCTTGATCAAGTGGCAGTTTGGGAGCCAGGCCAAGTGTTGCTGAAATGCCTCATGCTGTGAGACTGACATGCTCCTTTTCCTTCATATTTTCTTATTGATTTAAATAATCTACAGTCAGACTGCGCAAACATCTTGCTGTGTTGTGAAAGGCTTTATCCTTTGTCTGTCTCTGCCCACTTAGATATGCAGATGTCCTTCATGAACATCATAGCAATCAATAAATCAGGAAACAGAGTATTTAGGCTGGCAAAACAGATTAGCAGTTAGTGGCACTCCAGTTTATCACATTTTGAGCTAAAATTCAGCTGCAGTTAACATAGAATTTCAGAGGTGAGCTAAAGCTTTGTCCCCCTCGGTGTCCTGGAATTGGTCTTCTTGCTGTCTTCACCTCCCAACTTCTCTAGCAGGCATCTGAAAACATAAAACCTTCTCAGGCTCTTCTTGATGAGTGACTGTAGCAAACAGAGAAGCAGTGTCTCTTCTGATTTCCGAGAGGGGGACTTGGTGTGGCTGTTCCTTCTCCATGGCAGGACATTCAAGGTGTTTGAGGAGTAAAGCAGAATATGTCAGAATTGCTAGGGCTGCAGAGCCTTTAAGAGGCACATGTCCCACTTGTGCAATCGTAAGTCCATTTCACATACCTCTTCACTATGTGCTTTTTCCCTTCTCTTTGCATTGCTTTGTTTCAGCTTGTCCTGAACCCAGCCTTGGTCATTTTCCTAGCCATAGCAAAATTGTTATTAGAATCTGAGCCCGCAGAGACTTTCCGCCAACTCTGCTGTATTGTATCTAGTACAGTGGGCATCGAGCTGAACTGGGACTCTCAAGTTGCTATGTCAGTATCGGTAAACAAGCATATCTCTTATCTCTAACAGGCCAGGAGGCGTGGATCCGGAAACTGAAATGGCCTAATTTGTACCAGTTCAGCCAGCAAAGGTGGAAGGCACTCTATGTGTCTCCAGAATCCACTGAGACAGCTGCTTTCCACAAGGCCTATGAGAACTTTGCTTTCTTCTGGATTCTTAAGGCTGGGCATATGGTAAATAATATACTTCTTGGGGTGGAATGCACCGTTATTGGCAAGAAAATTGAAGATGCGTATATGCTTGCTGTCTGCTTCCTTATAACAGCTGTTTACTATGTGCTCTCATCTCTGTGCTAGGTACCTTCTGATCAAGGAGAGATGGCACTGAAAATGGTCAGGATGGTGACCCAGCAGCAGCACTAGGGAAGGGGAGGCCAGCTGGTATGGCTCCCTGCTGAATGTCAGTGCTCAAGCAGAATGCAAGTCCAGAATAATAACCCGCAGGAGGAACAGTGGCTATTTGGACACATAGCCTCTCTGATCTTGCTGATAAATGTGGACAATCACTTATGGAAAGACATTTTTTTCCTTGAGTGATTTGTTGCTTTTGAATTTGTAAGCTGTGATTTGCTGCCTTAACACTGTTCATAATGACTCTTCCAGAGGGAAGTCCACTGTCATGAAGAACTATCTTTGAACGTTTGCCTTGGAAGGATTTTGTGCTTTTGTAAAAAGCTGCCCTTCCCTGAATGCCCTCTTGTCTGTTCACACACCAAGACTAAAACTGATTTGAGTGCTGATAGATTTGCTGTTTGTTCCTGTCAGAAAGCTAACCCGTTTCATGAGGCCGTGGAATGCTTCTTCCTTTGTCCTCAGGCCTCTGCTTGAGTCACCCGGCTGGATTACAAGCTGAAGACATGGAGATGCCAGGATAGAGGACCTGCCCTAGAGGAATTACAGTCCATCTCATCTTGCTGAGGCACCTGACTTAAGATCCAAGATTCTTTAGGCTTTCTGTGCTATGGAGACAGAAGAACACCCCCCCAGAGGAGGATTTCACCTTTTTCATCTTACCATTTGTTGTGGGTTTTTTTCATTCTTTTTAATGTCTGTTACTCAAACTTTGCCTTTAGCCTTAACACCTGAAGTATATCCAGCAGGA